GGAGCAGGGGGCTGCGCTAAGGGGACGGAGCTCCGGGTCCCGGCCCCCTGAGCTGGGCCTGAACCCGAACCCGAACCCGAACCCGCCGGCGTCGGGGGTGAAGGAGCCCGAGAGGAGCCGCCGCGGGACACGAATCACAGTTTTATATGGATTTTTAACATATCCGGTGGCCTCCACGGCAACGTCAGAACTGAAAGTTCATCTATTTTCAAGGAAGGTAAAGGAAAAACAAAGGGACCCCCCCCAAAATATTGCAACTAAAAGTAATTCGGGCTAAATTTACAAATTCTTTATTTAAAAACCCTAGCGTATATATAAAGGAGATCCTCCGAGCCAAAACTCTACCTATGGACCGTTCAAAAACCTGCAGCAACACCCCGTATTTACACCGTGTTCCAGCCTCTGTGCAACACGCAACACGTGTGCAACATGTGTGCACACACATGGGCACAGGTCAGGGAGCCTGCGACCACGGAACAAACACCCGTCGGGAGCAGCGTGGGAAATGCACATTTCTTACACTGTGAAGCCATGGGGGGGGAAGACATCCGAAGATGCAAGTACTTCCAGAGAGTGGAATTGTCCATTCTCTTCCGAAAGTGTTGTTTTACGGGGCAGAAGAGTATTTTAAACAAGTGATTCGTGTATTTTTCTTTATCAAAAGGGAAATTAAATAGTGCAAACTCGGGTTGAAACAAGTCACCACATAGAAGGTATTTGTGTGATGCAAACAAAACCAAGAAGTTACTTGTGAGCTGGGGTGCTTCCAGAAATAAAGGCTCCAGCCCCAGACACTCGACATGCAGCATAAGCTCAGCACCATGTGTGGGAACACGACCCAGACCTCGGCTCCCAAAGCACATCGGCAGCACCTGAAACCCCAGGAAGAGTTTAACTTCCATTTCCAATTGCCTTGTGATCTTCAGGTGGTGAATTCCAGTGAAATACCCTCACAAGGCAAACCACGTACCCAGAGCATACCAACTTCCCCACCTTTTTAGGAGCCATCCAGGTAAATTCTCCTGCCAGGAATTCCTACCAGGCAAAGGAATCTGGCAAACTATGGAGTTACAAAACTCATGGGGTTACTTTCTAACTAATATTCCTGCTAAGGAGCATTTTCAAAGGGCTATGACAAAACAGTCAATAAAAATAATTTTAAATACACCAGCTCTGGTCTAAGTCATTTCCTGACAGAAATGTCCTTCATATGTCTGTGGAGTAGTCCCAGCATCAGAGCTTTCACATCCAGGTGCTCTTCTGCTTGTTGGGGAGAAAAAGCAAAGAAAAAACAACAAAAAATGCTGGATTTCCCAATACGCAGAACTACCAGAAATGAATAATCAGGGAAGTCCCCCAAAATAAACTATCAGAACAGAACAGCAACGGAAAAAGGACTTTAAGGCAATAAGAGGCATCAGTGCTGCGATGCTCCAACGTTCACATCCCTACGCACGTTCAACTGCAATTTCTCTCTCCTGCCCTTTCCCATTCCCTCCTCAGCTGTTAACTGTCCGACTCTTCCTCCTTCTCCTCGTCATCATCATCGTCCTTTGTGTTGGCCTCGGATTTATCCGAGGATTCATGGAGAAGACCGTATTCCCTGCCGCTGAACCCGAACTTGAGCACATCCTTCTCCTTCAGTTCATAGTAGCGCTGCGGCTCAATCCGCTGGTTGTTTAGGAAGGTGCCGTTCCCGGAGCCCAGGTCGATGATGTAGGGCCTCACTCTGCGGCCAACGGTGCCATCAGCACGGGTGTACTCCACGAGCCTGGAGAAACAAAACAACACCCGTCCCATCACAACAGCCGGACAGGAAACACGCCCCAAAAGCAGACGGGTTGCCCCGGTGCAGTTTATACTCATCTGTACTCACAGAGATCGGAACAAGCCCGATGAGAGCAATGGAAACTGTGTGAGGCTGAGCAGATCCTGAGACTGCATCGCCTCCTAAAACTTGCGGTGGTATCATAAAGCAATTCCTACACCCGAACAGATGGCTGTGCCCTACGAGAGCATCTTTGTCTTCAGCAGCAGGCAACCCCCGCTGCTCCGGAGGAGATGGGCAAGCTTTGCTGTGAAAGGCCACACGGATAAAACCTCCTCCTCAAACACTTTTACTGCCAATTACACCTGCTAGATCATTCCCGTTCGGATACACACGCAGTTGTGTCTAACCCTGCTGTGTTATCTGTCTTACTAAACGGCTGCTTGCGGTTAAATAGAAGGAACTACAGATGGCTTTGACTACTGCTAGGACGATGTGCAGCAGCCAACACAAATTCCATCTCTGATGTACTCACAGCAAACCTGTACCTCTCCACTGTGCACATCCAAGGGGGTTTGTTTGCTTTGCTTTTCCCTTCCTGACGAAGCCTGTTTCACCAGGAGGTACTCACCTGTACTGAAACACAGCGTGCTGCTTCGAGCAGGAGGGGTGGTCGATGGGAATATCTGCGATCCTGCGGTGCCTGCCCAGGAGATAAGCACTCTGCCTGTGAATGTACATGACTGGCAGAAACTCATCGTTTTTGAAGGGATAAAGGCGCCAGCGCTTCTTCGGAATGCGAGCCTCGGGGGGCTCGCTGTACTTGATCACCACACCTCGGAAAGTGTTGGTGTCCTCCAGCAGCGCACCCGACAGTTCGAAGCTCGGCTTCTCTTTTTTCACAGAAGGTTTTTCTTTAGGTTTGTTATCAGACTGCCCCAGTTCTGGTTTCTGCTCAACACCACTGCCTTGGTTGTTTTGTCGATGCTCTCGTCTTCTCTCGTTGTAAAACTCCCTCTCTGCTTGCTGCTCACGGATGTTCTGGACATCCCTCTCTCGCTCGTGGCCTCGGACCCCAGGCCGTTCGTTTGGGTTCTTCCTTCTGTCTGCGTGGTCTCTGTGTCTGTCTCTGTCACCGCTCCTGTCTCTCCTGTGTTCTGGTTCCGATGGGTGTCTCTGCTTTCGCTCCTCGTTTCCTCTCCGGCTGTGATCATCTCGCTCCTGGAATGAAGAATCACTTACAGCCACACAGGCGGAACTGGCATGAAAGAGCAGCCAATCTACCTCAGCTTTTAGGCAAATCACAGTCCTACACATGGAAAACACGCAATTGGACGCATTGTCTGTGGATCTACCGCTAAGTGAGAGAAACCGCTTTCCTTGCCAAGCTACCTGCA